AATGTCAAATATCAGAAGACGGACATGTATTAGACATGTATTATTTTTTGCCAATTTGTTTGCTGCCTTTCCGGTCTACCTTGATTGGTCAGCTAATCAGTTTAAACTTCTGTATGCTGTTTCAGTCTAGTTTTTGTTTGAAGTCTGCTAAAGTTGCAATTTAATAAGCCAACATACTCACTCAGAACCGCAGAAAAATGTGGAATACTCACATGACAGAAAACTATTTTTGCCGGATAGCAGAAGTGCTTTGTTTTGACTTGATTTCAAATCAGTCTATGATAGGGTTTGTAATTTTATGTTTACAGGATATTAGACAGATTTTACTCTTAAATTCAATTTTAATTAGTCAAGCAATACTTATATTGGGGATTCTGCTTTATTTTATTTGTTATTATATTTATCAGTATCTTTTAGTTTCTGACCCTGTTGGGTTTGATTTAGAAAAAAATGTGTTTCAATAGACAGGTATTAAAGTAAGAGTAATGGTCTTGTCATAATTTCACATTGTGTGGTTGCTTTAACACACCAACACTTTTACTGCTGTGCTCTCATCCCCCCAAAGCAGAATGAGAGTTTAGACCAGGTCACATCACCTCTTTCTGTGAGATCAGGATGGCGCCCTAATCACCAATGGAAATATTAGTTTATGTTCAATGTTAATTTGAGATCAGTTTACATGTTTTGGCCCTTTTTGTTTGGAGTAAAGATTTGCTGTAGTCATTATATGTTTTTTAAACAATTATGCATAATAATAAGTAAATTCTACACCTCTTTTTTCATTTATTTTTTCATTGTACTTGAACATTTTATTAGCCTACTTTCTCATTCATGTTTTTTCTTATATCCTCCATTTTCCTTTCCATTCATCTTCTTTTCTACTAATCGACGTTCCTTTCCTTCACCTTTTCCATGCCCCATTCCTCCTTCTTCTCCTCGTCCCTCATCTTTCAGTTAGAGCTGCTCTGCATGCTAGACTTCTCTCTGTGCCTTCTCTTCTCCTCCACCCTCTAATCAGATCAATTCACCATTCCATTCACAGGGATATAATGGGGTGATTATGCATGGCTTCTGTGCAGCTTCTATCCGTACTTTTCCTTACACATACACGGAAACAAACACACACACACTGCCCCCTTCGCTATGATGGGAGTTGACGTTGCATCTCCCCTAAAAATTCAGTGAATGTCCTCTTTAAGAGAAAGCGGGCAACCTGGCACTCGCAGATTAATTTGTCTCTTCGCTTCTAATCAGTGTCAAGATAGAAGAAGAGCACAGAGGAGGACGGGTGAGGTAGAAGTGGAGCGGCAGAGGAATGAGGAAAGCAAACACGGAGGGGAGAAAGTTCCTCTGAATGTTGTATTAGACTCAGACCTCTATATTAAATCTCAAATGCTTTACACGCACATACATAACCAGGGATAAAAGATCTCGGTCATTCCAACACTTTGCCAAAACTGCTGTTGGCATTTTAGCTGTTTAGAAAAAAGTGCTCACTTTTGAAATTGAGTCAAATCTCATTTATGCATGCTTTAGATATATTGTGCGCATCCATTACGGTTGAAATGGTAAAATATTGAGACTGTATGGTAGCTGTAGTTACATGCTCAATTGTGATATGCTCACAGAAATGCAAAAGAGGACACCAGCTCTCTTAAATACAACCCTAAATTCAGGCTAAAATCAAACACTGGGTCTCTTTGCACCCATGGTAACAACGATTTTCCTCCAGAGACAGAATGTGGCATCTGCTGTTTGTTTGGGTAATTTGAGAAAATAACTAATGCCGTATTTCTCCCTATAATGGAGAAGGTCACTTAAACATGAAATGTATCTCTTACTTTAAAAGATTAATTATCCTGGATGGATGGGGGAATAAATGGGTAAATGGAGGGACCTCACAAGAGGGCAGTCTAAACTGAGAGCGAAAAAAAGACAAATAAATCTTGTTTATAATCACATATAGCTGAAACTGAAAAAAATAAGAAAGGGTTATATGCATGGGAAGCTTTGCAAAGGGGTAAAAAGCAAGCTCTTGGGTTTAATTTGAAATCAGACCATAGATTATCTTTTCTTTGCATTGTCAGAATTTCTCGTCTGTACTCACACACATGTAGATATGTACAAACATAAACCTATTTTTAAATGAGGGTTAACTCAGTCAATTGGCTCATGATGAGGAAACCGTAACATAGTAACCTCTGTCTAGTCTACTTTAATTTCAGTTGTTTTTCACCTACTTGTCTGTAGGATTTAAGACCTGACAAGGGGTGACATATTCCTTTGATTCTTATTCACACACAAAACTCCAGAGTTCATGTCTCTGCCATCAGGGAAAGCTTTTTGCAAAGTTCCTACAAAGTTCTTGATGAGCAGCTGAGGATCTCCAGCCCCTAATATAAAACTGTCACCTGCCATAGTGTAATTTGTGGTCACCATGTGAAGTGCACTAAATTGGAGCCTGCACTTCAGTGAGTCAGTAAGTTGCCCTGATGCACTACATTTTTCCCTTCTTTTCTTCCTCAGTCTGAACAAAACTTGTCAACTGACTTAATGGATGGTTGAACAGTGTCAGCAATTTAGACTAAACACGCAGTGAGAGCTGAGGGAGTCTCTGAAATTTCCGTTTTTCTGGTCTGGTAGTTTCTGGTAAGGACAAATTTGAAAGCATTTCCCATTTAAAGCTGTTTCTTTCAATCTGAACAATTCAAAGAAAAAGAAGTTCAGCAAAATATTCCCCACTTAAGGTACACTACTGCAATCCCTTCCAGCTGAGCAGTTTTAACCCCATAGGATATATGCTTACAGTGCAAAGTGAAAACTAAGGATCTCGCTGACAGGGAAAGTTTCAGCTGCTATGAAGTGAGCTAGTAGAAAAGTATGCTCCAAATAGTCAGTGATTTTGTCACATCGTGTTTCTGAACAGGATTTTGGCCTCCAGCAAGTCTGAAAACAGAATATGTGAAACAGAAAAACTTGGATTGTGTTTTCAAAGGGTGACAACAAAACAAAGGTGAAACTGATGTACAGGCTTAAATGGAACCAGCACTGTATTAAATCTGATTATCTTCATCATCTATCATCAACAAAAACTATTTTAAACAGGCTTTTTGAACATTTTTATAGATGGAGCATAAGTGGGTAAATGTATAGCATTCACAGCCTGATTCATTAAAATAGCAATACACTAATGATTTCCTGAGAAGAGCTATTGTATGGAGTGTTTTCTTCAGTCACAACTGGTCCCACTGAACAGAGATTAAAATGTCCAAGGCACATTTAAATTCTGACACTCTCACTTGGTACTAATAAAACATGGAGCCACATGAGATGAGCGAATATAGCGGAAAACAAAAAAAATTGAAACAGAGCTTCCCCCCTTGAGTCTCTGTCGGCTTCCCTGTGGTTAACTTACTGCGGGTGGTAGGATCAGTGCCTTTAATAAAATACCATAAAAACCCATTATTGCTGACTCAGCTCCATATATGTTCATTTAACCTACTTTTTACTCTAAGGTAATGGCTCTGGGGACAGTTTTCACATAATCCTGGGGAGATAAGGGCAGTGTGTAACTTGCAGAGCCAGCATTGTATTCAGACATTTAAAATAAGGTTTTCTCCTCAGAGTGGCTTTTGGAATGATGCTGAAGTCTCAACAACAGCTCAATGTAGTGAAGGGGTATATTGGAGTTCAGAGCATAGTATCTTTGCGTCCAGTGAAATACCTAATCAAGTCTTGATTCAGTGTTAATTAGCTCTAAATAACATAATAAATTGTCTGTTGGTATTTTAAATAGATAAGTCCAACATTTCACAGATAAGATATAATTTGTTCACATTATAAGAGGAAAACCCCATTAACTGGAAAATAATTTTACTTGGATGTATGTTTGCATAAATAACAGATAAACTGACATTCATATTCCTGGTGAGTTTTTTACTCAGCCACATTTTGAGAGATGTTGACACAAAATAGTTAAATTCTCTGCTCATGGCGAACAGAAAACAGCATACAGGTCAAAGTTGTGCACAGATATGTCAGTGTCCTTGCAGGTCAGCTCTTCTAAATCCTTTGGTGCAAAGAGATTGAGTGAACAAACAGGACAGCTGAGGACAAATACAAACATTAGGGTCTCAATTATTCATTCTAACTATTCTTCACTTGGACATCCTCAAATCCCTCATGATGGGTCGATTTATTTATTTATTTATTTATTTATTTTTGTGCAAAGTTCAAAGAATGTATAAAGGGAAATCACAAGAGTGAACGCATATTACTTTCCAACTGGAAGCAGAATGCTGCATTTAAGATTCAACGTAATATATACTGTTTTAAACTCAACTGACTGAATATCTGTCTAGCTTAACTAATTATAATGATAGAAATGGAAATTGTCTTTTTTTTCCCAATATCTCAGAGAAGAGCTCTCATCCTGCAATGAATTAAGTAATTAAGTGCGTTGATTTACAAATTGAACATAGAATTTTCATCAGAAAATAAAGACTGATGCACTCTGGTAGCATTAAACTCTGGGAGAAAGTGGCCTATTTAGCAATCTTCTCTTTGGATGTTAGGTTTTAATATACATATTGAGTCATGTATTTTAATCTCCAGTATTCTGACATCAAGCATTGCCTTAAAACCAAGATTGGAATTAATCTCTGCAAACCTGCAAACTTTCCAACTAATTTCTTTAACAGAATAGCTACAAATGTTTCATAATGCTGCTCATATGGTTGTCCTAGTTATCAATTCCCCTCTGAAATTAGTCAATCTTTTCAAGGCAAAGTAGTGGAAATTTTGTATGTTAAAATTTTAGAATGACTGTTGTTACTGTGTACACACATCTTAATTATGTAGGGGAAAAAAATGTGTCCGTCATTCTTTTATGACAATCAAGGCTGCATAAAGGTGTTTGGACCTAATACAGCTGACAAGAGGCAGGAGGTGGGGTACACCCTGGACAATTCACCGGTCCTTCACAGAACCTCATTATAACCCTATCAAAAGTTGTTAAAGTTCCAACTGTGTCCTTCTCTTCACTACCAGTGTTGAAGATCTCTTTGGCAGATTTGTTTTAATGTGCACACTCTAATGCAAGAAAGGCCTTGGTGCCGCAGTGGAACTGAAATCCTTGTTTGACCACTTGAAATGAATCCCTTTCAAGTGACATTTGGAGTAAGATCAAGTAACTTTCATGTTTCCTGGCAAAAGCACATCATTAATATGCAGCGTGTGCACACGTTGGCTCTAACAGACAGTCCTGCACTCACAACTGCTACGTGACTACATGAGATGGCACAAAATTTTCAGCCAGTAGACAGATCATTTTTTGTAATTCCCATTACAGTAGAAGAGGATGTTTGTACATTTGGGGCTGTTGGCTTCAGCATTCCTACTTTTCAGTATGATTTTGGAAGTGGGCAATTTTTTCTATTTAAAATGTATTAAAATGTTTACAACACTTGTACTTGATGGCAGAAACCACAGTACACACAATGAGTGCCAGTCTGACCGAACGTCAGATTAACAGCACCTGTCAGATGCTTTGCATCTTCAATACAAATCATGTCAGATTATTGGAAACTGTTGTCTTTATTGCCTTCTGGCAAATGTTCAGACATAAACTCAGCCATGTCACAGGGACACGATTTGAATCAGGAGAGTCTTATCTATCGCCAAAAATGTGTGCTCCTGGATGGTATCAGCTCCTGTGCACGGCAACACTTCCAATTATGATCTCCTTGATAATTCATACTGAGAAAATAACTACTCACTTATCTTGTCACATTTTTTCTTATCTTTTTTTTACTATTTTTTTCTGTCAACGTTCATTTTACTAAAAACTATTGTGAGTCTGTGTGGCATCTTGTTTTCTTCCTTTTTTTTTTTTTTAACAATGTAGGAACCTTTGATCATGCGTAATGTTTCCGCCGGTGGACTGCACCAAATAAGCTACGTCACTTCCTCCACATGTGAACCGTTTCACGCATGTGAGTAGCCGCAGATCATTCCAAACAGTTGTGTTCGCCTTTTCAGAACCCTAAGAGTATATTAACATTTATGGTCATCGACATTAGAACTATGGAGTCGTCTGAAGAGTCGCTGCTTGGCCAGGAGTCAGAGGAGGAAAGCGGAGAGTTATCGGATGGAGAGGTGAGTTTTTAGGCTAGCTTTGCTAACCGCTGCAAACTACGTTCTAAACTCACCTAAACGGAATGGTTTTAAACATGGTAATAGCACCTGCAAAGAAAAGGGACCATTATTTTGACCTGTAAAATTTTCTTCCAACATTATTGGAAAAACGTTACTCCAAAACCCATTTCACATCTTTAAATGAAACGCACCTAGTTATAAAAGATACTGAGAGAGCTGCTATTTCATTATGAAACGCTTGGCAGTGTATGTGTCCTGATATTTATCCATCTAAATGACCTAGCTCCAGGACGCCTTCGCTAAAGGGTTGCTCAAACCTGGGATGAATGTTCTGGTGGATAAAGCAAAGAAGTTCGTCAATAATGTGGTAAGTATATCAAAGTGCACTCATTTTAGTGAGCTTGCTTATGCATACTAATTTTCACAGGAATTATTTTCAGAAACTGTCAGAGTAGAGACTGTCCTTTTGTATGAAGGTAGTTGTTACTGGCTGTTGTTTGATCCCCTGGTGTCCTTATGTTGCTTTACAGGAGGGGCTGAAACAGTGCCTGGCTGAATTTCATAAAGATCTTCCCTGGGTTGAGCGGCTGGACCTGACTACTCTCCCCGTCGATGATGTTGTCTCCAAAGTTGAAGGGAAAGTTCCACCTGTGGCGAATGGAGAAGTCAATGCAGAGGATGATTTTCAAAGGGAGATGTTCTTGTAAGCAATCAAAAAGTTGAAGCTCGCTATGTAGACAACAAGCTATTATTACCTCAGTTATCTAAACAAATATTATACGGCTTCATAATGTCCTGTCACAAACGTACAAACGCAACCACAAATGCTGTTTACATTGCACGTAAAATTCTTTCAATCTGTGTGAACTTGCAGCTATCGTCAAGCTCAAGCCACGGTCATGAAGGCTCTTCCTCTCCTGTATAAGAATGATATAGCCACCAAGAGGCCTGACGACTACTTTGCTGAGATGGCGAAGTCAGACCAGCAGATGCAGAAGGTGATCTGTTTGTTCGTTTGCAACAACCAGTTCCCTCAATATCTCGTCTTTTTTCCCCCCAACAGAGTTTAACCACAGCTTTTTTTCTTTTCGCTCTCTCGCTTTTCATCTAAAACTACAGCACAGCCATGCTAACAGTAATGTATAGGATATTCTGAATAATTAGGACTCTTTTTGGTCTTTTTTTCACTACCTGTTCATATTTTGTACAATGAAACAGCTACTGTTTCATTCCATCAAGCATAAAATGAAATATAGAAACATGAGTGTTTTTTTTCTTTCTCTAGATCAGAAAAAAGCTTATCTCCAAGCAAATGATGTTGGAGAAGTCGGAAAAGGCCAAAAAGCTACGCGAGCAGAGAAAGTTTGGCAAAAAGGTCAGTTTCTCTAATAAATTTCAGAGGCAAGTGAAAATAGTTTCTGGAAATAAGGAATAACATGAATTTGAATGCCTTCCAGGTCCAAATAGAGGTGATTCAGAAGAGACAGAAGGAGAAGAAAGCCATGATGTCCGCTGTAAAGAAGTACCAGAAAGGTATGAGCCCACAGCTACGGCCCAATGACTCTTCAGAATTTAGTCCTAACGATATACCTCTTTTGATTGTGTGTGATTCTAGGCATGACCGACAAACTGGATTTCTTGGAAGGAGACCAGAAGGCAGGAAAAGAGTCTTTGGGGGGTGCAAATAAAGCAATGAACAAGAAAGGGTAAGGGCCTGTTTATTTCTCCTCATCAGCGCTCAGGCCTGGCGTTTTTCCTCGCAACATTACCAAAAATCTAACTTATTTTGACAGACCCAACGCAAAGAGAAAATTCAAGGACCAGAAGTTTGGCTTTGGGGGCAAAAAGAGCGGGAAGAAGTGGAACACCAAGGAGAGCTTCAACGATGTTTCCAGCTTCCGCCCCAAAGTGGCTCATGCCAAGGCTGGCAAAGGAGGGAAGAGAGGCAAAGGGGGGAGGCAAAATGTAAGTCCAATGCATATAAAAAACCCCACTGATTTATGGAACCTACTGAATTTGTCATGGGAAGTATATCATTGGTAAGAAAGCTCGTTTTCTCACACGTTGACTGCTTTTACTTTCAGAAACGTCCGGGCAAGTCTGTGCGCAGGAAGATGAAGGGCCGCTCGTAAAAGCCGGCTGGACTTGGACTTTATTCCTCTCCCCATTACAGCTCAAGAGACTCAAGGGGATTGCGGTCTCCTCCACGCCTTTTTTATATAAATATACGATATGTGGATTAATACAGACGGGTGCACAAAGCGATTCACACACACACAAAAGGTGGAGTCTGTTCTTTTTTTCTGTGACCATCAGCATCTCCATCTTTTCTTGATGCCACTTCCTGTGTCCAAACAAGGCATTGCGCTGTCTAATGGACACAGAACAGTTTGAGTCAAGTCTGCTGTTGTCTCGTTTTTTTTTTTTTTTTTAAATCTCAGCTCATTGATTCATTGATCTTCTCCCATGTGGCGTGACATTTTACACTATCGAGCTGCTGTCAGTTTTGCCCTTTCCCAGTAATTAATATGATCAGTATGTAAAGGACGAGTGTTCTTCAGACGTGTACAAATGTTTCCTCCACAAGTGTTTTTATTTTTTTCTTTCTTACTGTAAAAAGATTGAAATATAAACGATTGACTTCCTCTCAATGCTGATGTTTGTGACAGAACAAATTGATTTAATCCTCTCGGCCTTTCATGGTTTAATTGCCAAGTCGTCGTGCGTGTTCTTCATGTTTGGTGACATCTGTGCAGATCCGCTGGAAGTGGCGCGTCTCTGGAATCTAGAGAGGAAAAAAGGGGCACAATGTTAACAGTAGGAACGTTTTCCCACAACTTTCCTTGAAAATAGAAAAACTCTTGTGCTTTGGGTATAATTAAAAAAATAAGTTTTAATGGGAATGAACTCTGGGTAAGTGTGGAAAAGTACATTTCAAAAGGCCAACACAAACGCTGCAAACTTGCGTTTAGATGCTTTACCATGGTGACAGCTTTTATGTGCAAGTTACTTGAAATGTCCCATTAAAAAATTGCAATGCGACCGTTAGTCATCTATGGCAACTTTACTACAAACATTAACTGTTTCTATGGCACCACTGTTGGCTCTTAAAATAAACAGTTATCTTTGGCAAACTGGCGTCAAAACCCTGAAGGGTGACATGTTCACATTACCAGATAAGTGTTGCTGTGAACAAAACTATGCAGTGTCAGTGCAGCCTGCCAAACCAAACGTTGAGCAGCCCGGGGTTCACTTTAGAATGTGACCACACCTTTTGCAACGAGAGGCAAGTGCAAAGGGATTCAAACACACTATAAAATAACAGCATTTCTGCAGAGTGCTCTGTGGAAGCCAATGGGATTTTGCCAGAGAATATATCTGAATTGCACTATGTTCACAACTCATCCCACTGTCCTGTTGTTTGATTTGTGAAACTCAGAACCAAGACGGTGCTCACCAGTGGAGTGGAAATCCATCCGATCTCATGACTCTCAGTCACTGGCATTGGATACTTCTTGACAGGCTCCAACTGGGCCTTGTGCAAAGCTTCGATGAACCCCGCTTTGGACGAGACATGGTCAGTTACACAGAGGCACAGTTGGGTAAAATAAACTTTCAGTTAAAAGGAAAACTTACAGTTCTCTGCTATTACTTCTGGAGGTTTCCTGGACATGGGCTTGTCTGGCAGGATGTGCACTGAAAGAGACACCTTATGAAAACACGTTTGTTTTCATGAAATATTCTAAATGAAAAGTTGTTCAATCTCATAATCAAACCTCAATTACATTTTCAGACCGTTTTCAGACAGATTAACAGTTCAAGTTCACTTATTTCCAGTTTTCGGTTAAGTCCATGCTGACAAAAGGAGGATGGACTTGCTCACGTTTCCGGTGTGGGTTGATGCTGAACTCCGTGTGCAGTTTCTGGGTCCGTTGCTCCTTTCGGATCATCTCAATGTGGAATCTGTCCAGATTAACATAGTCGAGTTTGTTTTTTTCCGACATGGCCGTGAGACTGAAAGGGGCAAAGCCAACGTTCTCGGCTGGGCAAACGGCGCTGGTGTGGGTTCGCCTGCGCGTTACCGGGCAACCGGTAAACAGCGTCGCGAGATGCACCTGAGCGGCGCGAACGCGCGGTGGAGCCACGCGCACACACGCTCCTCAGTCCCGGAAACAGCAGCGGGAAGCGCCTGCCTCTAATGAACACCGCTTAACACCGAGGGGGAATAAGGGTAAAAAGAAAACGACCCTTGATGTAAATACGCCGTAAATGCATACATTTTCATACAATAATTTTTCTTTCAGTTGACGATGGAATTTGGATGAAAAACACAAACAGAAAATGTTCACTTTATGAAAAGGGAGAAAAGAGCGGGGACATTTGTACAGCAGTTTCGATACACTGACGGAAAAGTAACTTTTTACAGAGTTGCTTTTTTCCATTGTTTTATTTTTTATTTTATTAATACAAACTGCTTGACCAACATGATTTTTGTTGTGGGAGTTTTGAAAAAAGTGTCTTAATTCTATAGCATGTGAAGATAATTTCTGCTTGTGAACATTTTTTTAAAATATTTGATTTATTATCATTCTCACATAGCCTTGCTGAACTTTTGGTTGTGATTTTGCATTCAAGTTAAAGCAAGATTTTGAGCAGATGTACGTCCAGTGAATGTTAGTTTTAAATATTGATCAATTATTTGACGAAGAAATTAAAATATCGAACAGAAAACATCATTTTTAAATGATCAAAACAGTCTTCAATCTGCTGGATCAGTTGTATAGTAAAACCTCTTAGTTTTATTAATGTATTTTTTCAATAGTCTAGATTTTTCTTTTTTCTTTGGCTTTGTATGTTTCTCTCAGGGTGACAGATGGCTTATTCAGATTGTGTGTCTGAATTCTGCTCCAGCACAGGTGCTGAGCCACCTATGGGGAAAGTGCATGAGCGTATGAGTGCACAAATATGAATGTATGAGAGTTGATTGGTTGTGAACATCTCACAGTAACCAGAAGAAAAACTTTTAAGAAAGCGTCAAGAGCTCTCAAGATTTGTAGGGGCAGTGTGTGTGGAAAAACTGGAGTGACATTTCTTCACATGGTATTACATCACACTTGGGTAACCCTGATTTTGATGGTGTCACAAATCACACGTATGGTACATTCACACATTGTGAATATTACTTGTGGTTTTGTGGTAGCACTGATGTACAATGAAGGATGCATAGACAATCATGCGTGGCCAGCTGAAGCCTTGCTTGTTGTTCCTGCGCATAAAAGTATCTTGTTAAATTTCCACTTCACTTAGTTTCCTTTCCTCTTCCTGTTCTTCAAACCTTTCTTCCATCATATGTTCCCATCTGTTCCTCTGAGAAGCAACAGTTAGCCTTCCATGTTATCCTGTTTTAAGTCCAATTAATATTATATATACATAAATAAAATGTATTATTATTTGTAGAGACATTTGACAACAAAAGATTGGAGAGAACACTGCCTCGACTGATTAGTCTAAAATTCTGTTGCAGTGTCTTGGTGGGAAGAAAAGACTACGGCATGGGAAAAACATGAGAGAATGGATCCATCCTGCCTTATACCAACTATTCAGGCTGGTGGTGTTCCTTTAAGGGTGAGACTGATGTTTTATGGCACATTCTATAACTCCTTGACAGCAACCGAGCATCATTTAAAGGCCACAACTTGCCCGAATATTGTTGCTGACAACATCCATCTCCTTTATGACCACAGTCTCTCTATCTTGTAATGGCTACTTTAAGCCGGATGAGGCACACTGTCATAATTCATAAGATCTCATTCTTACCCCTTTAGTCCCCTGAGCACCTTTGGGATGTGGCAGGACTGTAGAATTGCAAGAATGAACAAATCTACAAAAATAGCACGTTGCCTTCCTGTTGGCACGGAGAGAACACAAATATTTCTTTTAAGAGGTGACTCAATGAAATAGACATAAAGCAGTGCTTTGATAATCTCCATGGCCGATAACATCGGATTTTGTAACCATTAGTCTCAAATGAAATTATAATAACCTTTTCTAGGCATGCAGCAACATTTTCTTATCAGCAGAAGGTTGTTGCATGAAGAAAAGGCACATTTTTGTCCTCATTTCCATTATTATTGGATGCTATTTAGATAATAAAGCAATTTGGAGAAAATTGAATGGCAGTAGGTTTGAATAACAACAGCATTGAGCTTAGAGTTTATTCAAAAAGCTTGGGTAATTGCAATGAGGTTAGTTTCAATGACTTTGACCATACTATCAAACTTCTTCTAATGAAATAAGTCTCCATCTTAATATATCCAGCTGATATTCATTTGAAATGAGACTGCCTTCTCTCAGGTTACTGAAGTTGCACCACACCGATTGCTTGCCTCCAGTCCTTATATACTAGCTTTGTGCACTTCCTTCATCTTCCAAACCTTTTAGAGCAAGTCTCCGTTTTAATTGTGGAGTGCCCTCATCTCCTTCTAATTTGAACACCAAGTCATGTATAATTTAGTCTTTTTTTCTCCACCACTGCCGATATAAAACAAATGAGAGTTGGTCACGCTCTCCCATCGTACTGCATCAAATCTCCCTGTGATCACTGCCAAAAAACATATTTTTCTTGGAAAATGAAACATTTATTGAAGTATTAAGGCATAATGCATCTCCAAGCTACTGGTAGCTACTAAGTGTTTAAGAAGTGTCAGTGACTGTGATTCAAAATAAGCCGTAATATTTTCAATCAGATGCAACTTAAAAATTTTGCAAATTTAAACAAATTGTGGCTAGAATTTCCATTAATTTCTTGGATAATGGGTATATTAGGCAAATTATGTGGGCTGAAGAAGTTTTGTCACTGTTCCTCTAAGTCATCCTGGTAATGCTTGCATTGGTAGAAATAAAACTTTGTATAGTTGGTGTATAAAAGGAGATACTGGGTTGTGACTGTTAATAAAGAGATTTGAAACTAAAGTTCACTAGCTGATATGAAAGGCTCTAGGAATAGTCTGGGATAACATTAAACTCAAGGGACAGTCTCTGAAGAGCGTGAGAAAGTGGTTTAGTGGTTTGGCTTTGGACCGCCGTGTCTGCTCCGTCTGTGGCTGCTAGTCAACCTGAACGCTAATCTACCAGAAGATAAAGCCCCATCCCTCTCACTCCTTTGTCTGCTCACGTACTATGATAATAATATATCTCAGCTTTTTATCTGATTTTCTTCCTCTTTTTTTTTTTTTTTACCCCATAGCAAAACTTTAGTTGTTTGCTTATCTGATTTTGGATTTCCACTTTTCTTTCTTTTTAACAGGTTGGGATTGAAAAAGCAGGTCAAATTTACAAATATTTACCTCTGCTTTCCAGCTTTGCTAAAATTCATTTTAACCTGGTGAAGACAGGTGATTGCTGATGTCATGTTGCTGGACATGCATAAACACACGCCTGTACTCTCTGGTTTGTTTTGATAGTCATGGAGGTGTCTGGAGCTGGCTGGAGACACTATGGTCGTGGGAAAGCTGTCTTCCCATCAGATGGCAGCTCTGTGTCACCAGTGCTCTTGTCTGTAATCTCCTGTTTAGTCTCAGCAATGGAAACTTTCTGTGGTAAAAGACAGAGAAGAGCAGATGTTTGACCTGCAGGCAGCTACCATCAGGGAAACACCAGTGATAAAAAAATAAAATAAAAAAAAAACTTGATTATGACGTATTAATGAATCATCAAGTTAATCTGTCTGTTGTGTAGGTTAGCTTTTACATATTTCTCAAGTAGCATAGATAACATTTAAAAAGGATTGATGATAAAAGTCAAATGGCTTTTGTTGGTGAATGACCAACAAAAGCCTATCATAACTATTACTTTGGATTTAGAGCTTTATATGTTTTGCAATGACTGCGAACTAAAACCCAAAACAAGTGTGATGAATCAGAGATTGACTTTGGTCAATCAGAGACTGCAATTTGTTTTTTGCTACCCATCTTTGAAAAGACAGCTGGTAAAAAGTATTCATACGTCTGAATGGTTATTTCTCAGTTAAGTTAAAAAAGCTGTGGACAGTCAACTAATGGAAGTCGCATCCCATCTGAAAAGCAAGGCTTATGACAGACAGTCGTGCAGAACCAAAGACACAAACAGCTACTTGCCTGTTTTGTGCCATTAGGTTTTGTGAGGTTAACATGAGCATATTTCCTATCTACGATCTGCTGGCTTCTCAGTATTCTTACTTTGTCTTTATATGGCTACATAAAAGAGTTTCATGGAATGTCTGCTCAATCATTAAGGCCCGATGAACAGTTGACTAAAATAAAGTTATTTAAGATTAATGTGCAGTGGTTATGTTTTTATTGTTGGCTGCCATCCTTCCACATGTCTGTTTTAATTGTATCTGGGTATCCAGGTTCAAAACTGATCAATTGACACAAAAACATCGTATCCATTCTCTTCTGCCACTACCGTACAGTGATTAAAACCTTAAAAAAGTCTGTCTACAGTCACACTTTCTAACTCCTTCTGTGGGATCACAAATCCTCTCACTACAACCACACCAGGTGTTTCTCTTTTGCCTTCTCTTTTTCCAAAAGAGTGGAGTGGGTCACAAGTGTTACCCAAGTATGTGTGAATCTATCATGAAACTAGACCTGCTAAAGAGCAGGTTATGACAGTGAAAACTTAGATCTAAACGTCAAGTTTCACTGCCAAGCCTCGTATTACCTGCCTCAGGACACGCCTGGGTTTGCGGGAGCTCATTTGTGAATGAGTAAGAAAAGATGCATGGATAAGAGATCGTGTAAGAGATTGTGTCTGATCTCTGACTCACACTCCATCAATTTGCTGAAGAATCTGTTTCACTCTGTTGCAGAGCCTCACTGATCAGCTGTCTTTGTGTGTTTGGTCATTCAGTGAGGAAACACACACACACACACATAAACACAATATAAAGCAATATGGCAATTTACACGCACATATATATGGAATGTCCTTGACTTTGCAAACTATCATAGCTGGAGATGTGTGCTATGTGTGGGCATTTGTTTCATGTGGGCGAAGCAGAATGGAGGGAATTTGTTGGCAGCACTAATGGGAGGCATACAATAAAACACATAC